AGGATTCTCCAACTCCATCTTCCTGTACTGATACCCAGTATAGGCTCGCGTCAATACGTTCAACGTTTCGACGGCCACTGTCGGCTCTTCCGTCTTCCCGGCAGACATACCTTGAAGAGTGTCTGTCCCGCACCGAGACTTGAGCAGCGTTTTGTGCTTGCGCCGTCGCTTCTTCTTGTGAATCCCGGAATCCCTTGCTTTACGTCCGTTGTCACCTCTACGCCTTACGGCGGAGTAGTGTGGCGCTACTCCCCGAGTTGACACACCGTTTATCACCTCGACGCCTCACGGCGGAGTCCCTCTCGGTCTCGATATCGAGTGCGTGTCAACTCCCTGAGGCGACACGCTGCTGTCACCTCGACGCCTCACGGCGGAGAATTTCTTGGTAGTGTCTGGTCCCAGACCAGACACTCTTTTTCCTGTCAACAACTCTCGGAGACAGCGACGCGAGCCACCGTCTCTGAAGGAGGTTGGATGCACCATTATGTGTATCCGCTGCACTAACAGGACCATCGCTCTCTGTTGCGCCGCGGCGTCCGCAGCGTACGACCGTACGCTTCTCCCAGTCGATAATCGGATCATGTCGTGTAAGCCAGGGCATGCTTAACTCCATGTCGAACTTGTCGTCCAAGTCCAGGACAAGAAGCGCTTCTGCAAACACTTGGTGTTTGTACGAGAAGCGTGCGCAAATTTCGCGCTCCTCGGTCTTCACGAAGGAATACGTTGCCAATCCTACTTCCAACTGACTTCGAGGCGCATGCTTCTCCTCGAAGTCCAACAACGACAGACATTGCTGTTGAACAAGTTGTTCGACACGTCCGAGTCTGCCAACACTCGAAGAGAGTCCGCTCTCTTCGTCATCGACGTTATTATCAAGATGACAAGGATTGGCTTGTCATCTTGCACCTTGTAGTGAGATTCCCTCTGACTGAGGGCTGCCGTGCGTGTTCGCTGTAGACACGCGTGACTACATCACAGTAGCGCGCCCCGCGCCTACTGATCTGTCGCGTTGTTTGTTCGACCGTGGCGGTACAGGGTATACTGTTCGTAAGTCATACGAACCGTGAAGTCGGTCGTTGGACGGACTACAAAATGCTACCAGGTGTAGTGAGCCTAGGACTCACTAGTTGGTTTACACGTGTGCGCACGTGTAGGAGGAAGCGTAGGTGTTCTTGACTTGCTTACACGCGACGCGTGTGTACGAGTGTAAATTGGGCTAGGTCCGACCTGGATACAACCTGGACCCTTGTCGCACGGCTATGCGAAAACAACCTGGGCAGCAGTTTTACCGATCTTTGATTGGGCTATTTACCTTTGTCCTCCCAGCCTAACGCAAAGCACCCTTGTATAGTAGAATGTGAAAACAACCTGGGCAGCAGTTTTACCGATATTTGTTTGGGCTTTTACCTTTGTCCTCCCAGCCTAACGCAAAGCACCCTTGTATAGTAGAGAATAGCTTGAAATTATTGTTTCTCGCAAACTTTCCTTGCAACTTGCAACTTGCAAGTGAATATGAATATCCACACGGCATTCATTTTCAAGATAGAAGTTAGCATGACTGATAACATGTTAGGCATGACACAAGACGAAAGAACTGGGGGTTTCCCAACATGGAATGCTATAACAAACTTAAACCCAGTGGGTGGCACCGCAGACAAAACCAAGTTATGTCGCATAATTCATCAGGTCCCAGCACCATTGACTTATCCAGAAATAATCTGTTCGCAAAAACCGAAACGTTAGTAAAGCACAACTCTGACGATCAGCAGCAAATACTAGTAGTAGTACATACCTTGCCAGTATGTTCCAGTAACTGTACATCAATGCCGACATCTCTGACACCTTTGGATACCCGTGCGTTGATTTCGCGGAAAAAGGCAATGAATTCGTTGCGGTCACGCTTGACAAGTTCATACTGCTCGGAATGAAGTAGGTACGTTTTCAAGAAAAGCAGAGCGCATGCGTCGATAGAATTTGTCAACACTGTCCTGGCCTTTTTGGGCTGCTTAGACAGCGTCTCTTCATCTTCCTCTACCAGTTGATCGAGCATGAAATCCATTGCAAGACACAAATGGCCTAAACCAGGTTTGCTGTTCATGGAGCGCGTCTCGCTGGGAGGAATAAAAGCAAGCAATGGTACCAATTGCTCCTCATCAACATATCGCACACCGTCCACAACAAGGATGGCATCTCGATCCGTCAGGGTAGCAGTCCATTTGGTTAGCAACATGCTCGTTAGTCGCACAACCTCTACCAACTCGGTCTCCATTTCTCGGTGAAAGTTAGTGAGTTTACGCTTTTCCACGCCTTTCACCGCTAGCAAATGGCCATGCAACAGTGTCTGATGCGCATACGTGAACGCCGACGGTGATCGAGGAGATCGTGGCGACTTAGGGGTGAGGCTCGCGCCAAAACCAACTATCGCTTTGCTACTTGGTGATTTGGTTTGCTTTTGTTTCTGAGTTCTCTCATTGCGGAGTCGAGTAATTTCGGCGAAAGAGCTGCCCAACAGTACACAAGCACGACGTAGCAACTGCCGACATTGTTCCATCAGTACAACGGTGCTTGACGGGAACGCTTGGCGCCAGAGCTTCCGTCGACTTGCTGTCCCACTCAAACCATTCAATAGCCGCAACAGCGCTTGCTGTTCTGCAACAATAGCGCGAGTCAAATACTGGTACGATGGAGGCTGAACCGCTGCGAAGAGTAATGTTTCCGCGTGCGACATAAACTCCCATACATCTGCATCATTAGCATCAACGTTACTTGGTAACCGAAGCAGGCCGCCTACGAAATCCAGTACATTGCACCACATCCGATGTGCCAACGATTGATCCAGGTCTTTATCTTCCCTCTCGTCGTCTCCACTGCCATTAGACGAACGCACGTATCCACGCAACTTACTGATGGATTCTTCGCGTTCCATTTGTGCTTGCAGAAGCGGGAGCAATTCAGTCGCTAGCATTGATAGAATACGCAGTCGAGACGAGCTGTCATTATTTTTCAGCATCAACCGCTGACATAACTCGGTATTTACCGGGTTCCACACGACCGCAGTTAGACCTCGCAAAATTTGGCATGACTCTTCTTGTCTTGCAGCCACCTCTTTGCCATACGATGATGGTCGAAAGCGCTGTACGAGCAAGTGAAATAGAGCACCAATCACCTGCTGGTCATGTTCCATTTCCTTGACGAACGGATTGAACTGCACGGAATTTGCCATGATCAATTTTGGTTTAGATGCCAACGGGGAACCAACATTGCTGAAACTGTCGAGAATTTCCTGGAACAAACACCAGCTCAATTGGGAAAGTGCTTCGGTAGACTTTGTGGGCAGAGGCCGGTCATCGCATAAAGTGACAACATTCATGCAGTGACCAATCAGCTTCACTTGAAGGAGTGGTTTAGGAGGCAAAATACCATCCATATCGGCTTCTCCGTCCGTTGTGTACTCCGAGTGGTTGCTGATATTACCCAAGTGACGCACCAACAGCAACGCCGCAGCGAAAAGGGAAGTGTACAAGCCATCGGCCACGATTTCCAACTTTCGCTCGAAGTCCGTAACCAGACAAGCAATTAATGATATAGCGGAAAGCTCAGCAGAAGGTGTAGACATGGAGTCACTATTGGCACCTAGGCGCACTAGCTCCATCTCACGCGCAATTCGTCCCATCGATTCCTGCACTGCACTTGCACTCTTCTCGATAATAGTCAGTAGGTAAAGTGTAGTCCTGGCATCAAGCTTGAGATTGGGGTCTGAACTAGATCCTTCAAGACGCTGCCGTGTCTCCGATAACTTCGGGTCGCGTGTTTTGCGCACAACGACGCACAACTGGTGGTGCAACATCGACACCAAGAGTTGCACTAGATCGTGCAGGTGCAATAGCACAAAGTAGTCTAGCAGATTTTCATGCTGGTACACTCTGGCCTTGATAACATCCGCTAGCACTTGAATCATTCCGAATGACGTCCGATCACCAGAAAAGCGTGACGAAGATAATGCGCTTTCAGAACTGGATGCCGAGCACTCAAGCGTTGTTAACCGAACCCTAGAAGTACTTCCTGCACTTCCCGAGACGCTGCTGCGGGGAGGTGACGAAATCATCGATTCTTTCCTTTTGAGCCGCCGAGGAGTCGTTGTTTCGCTCGACTTCTGTGCATCTGGTGCTCCTTCATCAGCGCTACCTGCTTGTAAGCAACACAACTCCATAAACACTTTCCACTTGGTCAGAGAGAAGAGTTGTGCATTGAGGTAGGCCGCTTGCAAGTTGCTCCACTGGACTAACTTCAATGCACGAACATCCGCAGGGGAGGTTTGTAGCTTAAAGTTTCCTCCTGCGCTGAGTTGCCATTTGAGCGTGCTGGTATCACAAATTAGACCTTCAAGGTACATTGAGATCCCTCCAACAGGAATTTCACTAAGAAGATTCTTGGTGGGCATATCTAGGTTGCAAGCACGCCGGATCGATAACGCATACTGTTCCAGTTGCACCGGCGAATAATCCAAGCGGGTAAACGTACGCAACCAATGCGAATATAACCCCTCCTTCCTAAATGATTCCAGCACATCCACGAGCTGGTGGTCACTTTGCTTCGATGCCTGGTTGTGCCATTCATACGATACTAACTGGAGAATCAAACCACGCGCTAGGTATCCGTAAGCACTAGACCGCCCAATGTACTCCTCTGCTGAGCTTGATGGGCTCTCCACGTCTCCCCTGCCTTGAGCAGTGGCAGCAACAAGTTTCATATCTAGCAGTCCACGTTCGTCTACCGATTCCAATGGCACGTGGATTGTCAGAGCACGGGTTACATTCGACCAGAACGTGGGACGAGCTCGCAAGGCTTTCATAATCTTAAGATGCAAGGCAAGACCGTCGTGAATACCACCCTTCCAAACCTGCACAAGGAAGGTCAGCAACGCGCAAAAGAGATCGGAGTACTGCTCCAAAAGCTTCTCAGAAGCCTCGAACAACCGTTCCAGTAAAGCCACAAAAGGAAGAGGATCTCCCTCACTCTTTTCCTCTGTCGTGGTATCGGAATCCTTGAGGTTTTTGCTGTCACCAAACAATAGCAATGCCAGAAATCCTGGTTGGTGTTCTAGAGACAACGTCAGCATCTCAATGACTTCTTTTCGTAATGTTTGTTGCAATGGTGACGACGTTCGCAAAAGTTGCGCAAACGTTCCGCGCACAAGAGATAGGTCTTGATACCCGTGAAAGAGTGCAACTAAGGAGTGCACTGAGGAAAGATCGCGGCTTTCACGTTCCTGGCGATAGTCCAGTATTACAGCAGCATGTTGTAGAATCTGCAAGGACCAGAAGGCAATCCCATCAGTTTTTTCCAGCGAGTATCCAAGATAACCCCCGCAAAGTGTGAGAATTGTCAACGATCTACGTTTCTTGGATCCGCCATCGCCAATTGGTGTTAGCAAAATCCTTCGAGCAGCTAGAGAATCCACAGTCGCATTTTCTTCTGTAACTAGCAATGCCACGAATCGCAAACACATCGTCACAAGCGACTCAAGTTGGATAATATTGACCCCCGAACTACCAGCATCGCTCTCATACACCAGAGGCAAACAATTATCAGTATCAGAAACTGCGGCTTCGTCGACGTCGTCCAACACAATACCATTCCAGTGTCCCACGCGACCCGTTGACAGCACGGTGCATGATGAGCGCAGCAGTTTCATTAGTAAAGACATATCCGTAGAGAGTGTCTCCCGCAATGCTGTTTCAAACGCAGCAACCATCTCATTCTGCTTGTGGATATGTTTGCGGGGATGTAC